GTTAAGAGTGTGAAGTGAAGTAGGAACAGGACAAGTAGTTCCGGGCCCGGGATTATTGGCGTGATGGGTAGCAATTCCTCGGGAAATGTAAGGGAGTCGAGAGTAGGTCGTGACGGGAAGTGTCAATTTTTTAATGTTATCGTACGGGCAATTGTTTTTTTTTCTGAGGCTAGATGGTTAGTGTCTTGTGTGGCCGGCTTCTATGTCGATATTTCTACCAACATGGTGTGTATAGCGAGATGTCTGCATGGTCAGGGCTGTGTCAACAATGCGAGCCCCTGTAAGCAGACAGAATACGACACTTACGACCCTATCACCGAGAATGTATGCAGTTTTATTGGGCATTTATCCAGCCTTGGGGTCAATCTTTCATTTGGTCACCGGCGCTACTGGAGGGAGACTTTCGGGGTAGCACAAACGAAAACTAGCATGCGAGACGTGAAAAGGCATAATGAATGGGGACGAATGAATCTTAGGTTAAGGACCAGTAGGAGATGTGCTAAATTCAGCCGGAATGATCGTATGAAATGACACTCGAGGGTATAAAGAATTTAAGCACTAATGTCATTCAACAAGCCGCTTCAATTTACCAGAATGACCAGCCTCAAATAACAAAGCATCGACTATCACCCGATGCAATATTGTCTGCAAAGGAGGACTTTCATCATTTTCTATCTTTTCTCTATCGTTGTTTTTTTACGTATTGAATGGTTGGTTTTGACATGATCAAATAATTTAATATGGTTATGTAATATAAAAAAATAAATATGGTCATATTAAATTAGTTTTTTTCTTCTATTATTTCTTCTCATTTCTCCTCTGTTTCTTCTGAGACCGTCTATCCAGGGAGTACTGACGAAAGGTGGCGGCTCTTTATCTCTAATCTTAGTTTAACTAACACCTTCTCACTTTTTCCACTCTTCTGTCATTCTCCCGAGTCCCGCGCTACAGTCATAAGGCCTTCATTGGCACATTATCTATTTTAAGACAGTTATTCGTTGTGGATTATCAGATGCTTTTCTTCAGCGCTCCCCTTTGCCTCAGTCACGTCTCTGAACGTAGCACCCGTGCATCACAAGACGTGCTTACTACATTAAACTTTACTGTCCCTCATCAGCACTCGTTGGCTTGGTGTTAGACCCCTGCCCTATGGCCGAGACAGCCGCCAGCCCACCGCGCGGCGCACCCCTCCTTAGCAGACGGGGGAGCGCACCACGCGCTCCCCGCCCATTCCCCTCCCTCCTTCCCGAGGTCGTGTCACAAGGGTTCGGGCTTATGCTACTATCAGCCACTGCGTAGCTGTCGTCCAGCGCATGGGAATGCGTGGTCTCTGTGCGGATTCAGCCAACTACCGGCTCGCGACACCAGCGCCAGTGGCGAGGGGACATTCTCTGTAGACATACTGTCCGGTGAGTTCGGGACGGGTGCCGACTGCCGGGGCGGCGACCTCTGATGGGGCACGGCTAGGAGACGGACGGCGACCTCTGATGGGGCACGGCTAGGGGACGGACGGCGACCTCTGATGGGGCACGGCTAGGGGACGGACGGTGACCTCGAATGGGGCACGGCTAGGGGACGGACGGCGACCTCGGATGGGGCACGGCTAGGGGACGGACGTAGCACCGGCATTGTCAGCCTGCGGGCAGTCTGCGGTCGGCCGGGGTGGGGTACCGGGTGTCGTAATGGGATATTTTGACACTGCGGTTCACCGACCAGCGGTCTCTGGAGCTCGCAGGTCACTCTGGACGGCCGTGTGTGGTCACGTGACGGTAGTGTGGGCTGCTAAGTTTATTTAATTGTTGTGCCAAATTAGATGTCGCTGCTACCGGTTCCACCCACGTCTGTCTTCTGACTTACATACTTTGTTTGTTAATTTGTTGTCTGGTTTGCTATGCACCGTCTCTGTCTTCATCTCGACTGACGGCGTCTTCCGGCAGGTTCCGGCGTCAGTAACCCCATCTTCAGATTCACACTTGGACCGGTGTTCCCGCGGCGTCAGCGAAATCTGACCTACAATGACCTCTGGTGACCTGACCTTGGAACTGACCGAAAAAGTGACCGGAATGGTTTCATCATTATTATTGACACTCTTTCGAACGCCGCTTTCCGTGTATCGCAACGTGGCCCAGCAGCGGAGGCAGAAGGGTGTTCAAACACCCCCCAGTAGGGCATAGAAATCCGGTACCCCCAGCGGGGCGCCGGTTATTCGTGGCTACTGTAATGACGTGTTGTCCCCCCCCCCCCGCTGCTGTGTGCTAACGTTGTAACGGTGACGAGACGGACTGCCCCTCCCCTCCTCACATGGGTAGGTAATGACGCCCCCCCCCCGCCCTCTGTGTTACCGGGTGGTGACGGTGGCGGAACAATGAGACGTCTCCTCCCTGCTGGAGCGGGCCCGTCAGCAGCGAGCCGGTGTCCGCCACCCACTACCACGATCAGTCGTCGCTGAAGAAGCAGCTGCCCGATCAGTCGCCGGGCTGAGCTGGCGCAGCTGGGCGTCGGCCCGCGGCCAGGTGATAATTTGTGTGTGCTCTGTGCTCTGCTCGTGTGATAATTTCTATGGTGCTCCGCAGCTGTGTCTTGGCTTGTTTACCCCTCGCCCGTATTGGTGTTTTTCCAGCCGCGAACGTATAAGGGGGGGGGGGGGTCCGTTGGACCCCCCCCCCCCTTGCCGTTTCGCCCCTGATCGAGCTAGAGCTTCGCGGAAAAAACGAGCGTGTTGCCCGTGACGAGAGGAAGCCGATGATACCCAATTTTAAGGTCCTAGGTCATTGGTTGACCTTGCAGGTCAGGTCAACGACTCAAAAGTCGGGAAAATCGGGACCTGTTAGAACGTCGTAAAGTGTGGCTGCTATGGGGTTTTCCGGGGTGCTGATCACGAATATCATGTTAGTTTTGATCACAGATGATATCTTCATGCATTTAGACCAGGTCGGGTCAGGTCAGGTCAGGTCAACCAGTAAGGGTATTCGTAGTAGGTGGCAACCGCCTCTGACAGCTTCGTAACATGTTACGAAGGCACCAAAACTACTTCGTAAATGTTCATATGGTTGCTAAATTCGAATTCAGCTAAAAAAACTGGCCTAGAAACATGTAAAACACGAAAATGTGAACCGAGGTCATCAAAGGTCAATGACCTGACCTGACCTTCAGGTGACCTTGACACCCACCCTTATGAATGGGGGAAACATCATATCACATGTTTGAACGCTTGAAACCACGAAAAGACTGCAAACGCGCGGCTAATGCGAGCCGACATACGCCGAATCGCGATTCCGGCCAAACATGGTCTCGAAAAGTAGGTCACAGGTCAAAGGTCATTTGGGTCAGGGTCATGAAATTTTCAGGGTAGGTGTAAAATTAATGAACGCGAGGGTACTGAAAGTTTCGTCGCGATCGGCCGCTTTTTACGCGAGTTATTCGCGAAAAACCATGGGGGGGGTCCGTTCGACCCCCCCCCCCCCCTATACGGGCGAGGGTTACACTGTCCGGTGTTCTATAAGCTTCCCGATAACATCTCCACTCCCATAAGATACTCCCTGAGATCCTGAGTGACGTCACCCGTGATGAACGCAGGGGGTAATCCCGTTTATTGCAGCGTAAAAATGCCCAACTTCATTTGAAAGTTATTGATAGTATTGAAAACACATATTGTGAAATCTTTCCCGTCAATAGAAAGGCCGACTCGTTTTCAAGCGACAGAAAAACACCAACTTGGTAAGAAATGGATGGTTTTGAAGATATAGATGATGTTAAAACCCGCTGCAGCAGCAGAAAAGCAATGTTTATGCGCGTCCAGTATATATTTTTACGGTGTTAAACCCTCGTCCGTATAGGAGGGGGGTCGAACCTTCTCCCCTCGGTTTTTCGAAAATAGGCCGGAATCTCGATTCGGCGTATGTCGGCTCGCATTAGCCGCGCGTTTGCAAGCTTTTCGTGGTTTCAAACGTTCAAACATGTCATATGATGTTGCTCCCATGCATTAGGGTGGGTGTCAAGGTCACGTGGTGGTCAGGTCAGGTCATTGACCTTTGATGACCTCGGCTCACTTTTTGGAGTTTTACATGTTTCTAGGCTAGTTTTTGGAGCTGAATTCGAATTTGGAAATGAACCATTTGAACATTAACGAAGTAGTTTTGATGCCTTCGTAACATGTTACGAAGCTGTCAAGAGGCGGCTGACTTCTACTACGAATACCCGTCACGAGTCACGACCCCTACTGGTTGACCTGACCTGATCTGACCCGACCTGGTCTAAATGCTTAAGGACATCACCTGTTCAAAACTAACACGATATTCGTGATCAGCACCCCGAAAAAAAAAAAACCATAGCAGCCACACTACGACTTTCTAACTGGTCACGATTTCCCGACTTTTGGGTCATTGACCTGTTCTGGAAGGTCAACCAATGACCTAGGACCTTAAAATTGGGTATCATCGGCTGCGTCTCGTGACGGGCAACACGCTCGTTTTTTTTCGCGAAGCTCTAGCTCGATCAGGGGCCAAACGGCAAGGGGGGTCGTACCAACCCCCCCCCCCCTTGTGCCGTCGAAGGACGCAAAATGGCCTGTGCCGGTGAGGGTTAAATTACGATTAAGCTGATATCGTATCGAATCACCAAAGTCATTTGATGCCAACAGGCACTAACATTTAGGGAGCGGTTAGCAGAGTGCCGTTCAAGTCAGTTGGGAGTCTGGGACCCATTTCGCACGTGCGCACGTGCAGGGTGCCGCTTCCAGATCTCGATAACGGCTAGGTCGATTGTGCTCAAATTTGGCACATCGCTAGGAGTAGACCGGTTAGTAGGGTGCAGTGCACAAGTTAGTTGGAGGTACCTTTCGCACGGCAAGGGCCTCTCGCTCGCTCCGTTGGTCGCCCCAAAAGGCGTTTTACTGTTGAATAAAAAAAACAGGCTTTAGTAAGGATGACTGAATGAAATGGCCCTCCCCTTGCATACATACATAGGGCATACTGACGCCTCCCCCCCCCCCGCCCTCTGTGTTACCGGGTGGTGACGGTGGCGGAACAATGAGACGTCTCCACCCTGCTGGAGCGGGCCCGCCAGCAGCGAGCCGGTGTCCGCCACCCACTACCACGATCAGTCGTCTCGCCCCCACTCGGTGTTCACGCTGCGCCGGGAGGGTACTGGCGCAGCGCGCCGACACGGCTCACTGCACCTGGTCGACCTGCGCCGGCTCCGAGCGGCTCAGAGTCCGCAGCGCAGGGCGACCGGCTCACCGAGACAAAGAATATCAACTAGTCGCTGGCCAGCCTGGGCAACGTCATCATGGCGCGGGGAAATACGGTAACTAACTTCGCCCGGTCGGTGACGAGCTGCCCATAGATACTAAGCGCATGATGGTGACATAGCTGCGTTTGATGCTTATGAACACATGGTATGGTATTTAGCGCTATTGTCTGTGATGATGCTTGCATGTTGGGTTTGGGGATCCTCAAAGGCGCGGTGTTTCGTAGCGCCCAATTTGTTGGTGCTGTTTTGCTCGAGTGATCTGCGTCCGTTCCGATCGATTCGTTAACCAGCCTCGCCCTGCCCCGCCCAATGCCTGACCGCCCTCCGATTGTGCCCCACAGCAGGATCACGTGCCGCTCCGCGACTCCAAGCTGACGCACCTGCTGCACCACTCACTGGACGGCAACAGCAAGACGCTGATGCCCGTGAACGCGTCGCCGAGCGAGGACGGCGCCGGCGAGACGCTCAACTCGCTGCGTTTGGCCGTCCAAGTCAACCATTGTCACATTGGCACCGCCACGAAACCTACCCGGTGAGGGCGGTCACACCGTGGTGAGGCTGAGCCGTGCAGGGATGGGCGTAGTTTTCCAGCGACGAACGGAGCGATAAACTCTCCAGCCTCCTGATCTGTCGGGCGCACGCTGTATGTACTTTACCGCCGGGGACGGTACATCTGACAGTCGGAGCTATCCGGCCCCGCGCGGAAGTCGCCGGGCATGGTGGCAGGTGCGTTGCTGTCTATGGAGGTGTTTATTGAATAAACGTATCTCATGCTCGGGACACGTGCATTGGATAAACTTATCTCATCAGTCGGGGGAGGTTTGGTCAATCGTTGTCATTTTTAGCACGTGCTATTTTTGTCACACGTGCCAAAAATGGCAACGATTCTGCTATTTTTGACGACGATGAAGCCGATTTCATTCCTCAGCGAGGAGATCACGATTTTGGGAATACAAGCACTGATTTTGGAAAAGAAGTGCTGACACCTGGTGCAAGAAGAATAAACCAGCTTTAATATGGGCCGTTGTTTGTATGGTAGTTTGTTTTGTGGCCTGAAGTTGGAACTTAAAAACTACTGTTACGTGTCATGTTGTGCCGAACTACGACCGTGTCGTACGCAACTAAATCATCGTGTCGGTCGGAACTCTGCTTCAGGGCGAATCAAGCGGTTTTCTGCGATGCATCGTTCGTTTAAAATAAAATAGCATGTCATTGTTTGTCGTTTGAAGAGAGAGAGGGAGAAAGACAGATAAACAGACAGACAGACAGACAGACAGACAGACAGACAGATAGAGAGACGAACAGAAAGACAGATAGACAGACAGACAGGCAGGCAGACAGGCAGGCAGGCAGACAGACAGACAGACAGACAGACGAAAGAGCAGTGTAGAAGAATTAGAGGGTAGCGCGAGGGAGAGCGGGAAAGCGGAGATAGAGGATAATAGGGGAATGAGAGGGGGCGCGAGGGGAGAGCCGAGAAAGTAATTTTTAGCACAGCTGTGGAGCGTTTCCACTTTCCAATAAAAATATTGATACTAGGATTAATAATAATAATGATTGCGTTCCAAATCCAATGTTCCGATAGTGCAGAATCCTTAGCGTCCCTTATCAGTGATAAAATACATTAATTTGAGCATATTTGACCTTCAATAATCTTATGCTTTGGAGGTACCCCCATAGAAAACCAAATGCTGTTTTTTCGTATAAGAACATTGCCAGTGACTTTGGCAAGGTCCGGAATCTCAATGTTCTGCATACATTCGACCCCAACACCGCTGCCGCCCCGGGTGTAATGCCTGGCGCCGCCTCTGCCCGCCCCACGTGGCTGCCTCTGCCCTCCCGACCCCGCTCACCTGGCGCCGCCCCTGCGTCTGTCCTGCCCTCGGGCGGCGGCCGGTCGGCTGGAGAGCGGCTGGCCGTCGCGCGCGCGGCCCCTTCGCTACCAGCGCTCGGTGAGGGCGGGAGGCACTTGCTGTGGTGACGGTTCCTGGAAGAAATTTCGACTTCTACGAGGTAAGTACACCGCTCACTACACAGCGAGAATTTACAATTCGGGCGTTTTATCGTGTTGTGTTTCGTAAATGAGCTAGGAACGTTTTCTTTTTTAGCGAGTGTAAGGCCAGACGTGAGACGTGAATTCGCATCGCTGCGTGAATCTTCTTTATACATCAATCATGTGGTGAATTATATCGGGAATAAAAAGGACATCTTATCCAGAAGATTTGATTCTTCCGTAGATGCAACACTTGAAGATCACAACTGAATTATCATTGAATTATCTGAAGTCGTGCTAATTCTCTGAACAAGAATTACTGTGCTATTGGTCTCAAGATAAGGGCCCAGGCGACCTGTAGTTTTAATGTGGTGAAAAACCCTTACCCTCGCCACAGCTCGGACCGAGTGCACCCCTCCTCCCACCCAGCCCCACCCCCCACTCGAGTTGTGGCGGGGGTGAGAGTATTCACCGCTTCCTTTTATCCCCTTTGCTTCTTAGCTAGTGACATCAATCGGGCTGAGCGACTGTCCCCTCTGACCGTTTCAGTGTTTGTCCGCGGTGTCTGGGCTTTCTCCCGGTGCCGAGTCCCGCCCGGGGGCTGCAGTGTCGACCCGAGATTCCGGTCCGTCATCCGAGCTCCGGCCGCCTCTGAACGGTAAGGGCGAGCCCACAGCGGTACTTTAACTCATTTATGACCGGGATCGCTTGATTCACTGGCTGGGAATGGATATAGGTACACACCCTGATTGTTCTGCGTGTTTGCACTCGCTTCCGCGCAAGCAACAGTTTAAAAAGTACTGTTTAGTTCAAGTAACAATTTAAATAAGTTTATACTTAATTTGAAGTCTATTCTTAGAATTCAAGCACCTATTGATATTTGAAAACGAACGAACGATTTATCATAGGGAGGCATACTTATTTTAATTACTTGAGAAATGAGTATCTTTCGCGCATCTAAAACATCAAAGCAGCTTATTTAACCCTCGCCCGAACGGAATTGGTGTTTTGCCAGCCTCGAATGTATAAGAGGGGGTCCGTTGGACCCCCTCTTGCCGTTTGGGCCCTGATCGAGCTAGAGCTTCGCGGAAAAACGAGCGTATTGCCCGTAACAAAAGAAAGCCTATGATACCCAATTTTAGGATCCTAGGTCATTGGTTGACCTTCCATGTCAAGTCAATGACCCAAAAGTCGCAAAAATCGGGACTTGTTAGAACATCGTAAAATGAGGTCACCATGGGGGTTTTCGGGGTATTGATCACGGATATCATGTTAGCTTTGATCACAGATGTCTTCATGCCTTTAGGTCAGGTCAGGTTAACCAGTAGGGGTCCGGCCGGGCATTCGTGGTACGCGTCAACCGCCTCTGACAGCTTCGTAACATGTTACGAAGACACCAAAACTACTTCGTAAATGTTCAAAAGGTTGCTAAATTCGAATTCAGCTCCAGAACCTAGACTAGAAACGTGTAGAACTCGAAAAAGTGAACCGAGGTCATCGAAGGTCAATGACCTGACCTGACCTACAGGTGACCTTGACATCCACCCTAATGCATGGGACCAACATCATATCACATGTTTGAACTCTTGAAACCACGAAGAATGCAAATGTGCGGCTAATGCCAGCCGACATACGCCGAATTGCGATTCCGGCCAAACATGGTCTCGAGAAATAGGTCACAGGTCAAAGGTCACTTGGGTCAGCGTCACAAAATTTTCAGGGTAGGTGAAAAACAACTCGAGGGTACTGAAATTTTCGTCGCGATCGGCCACTTTTTACGCGAGTTATTCGCGAAAAACCGAGGAGGGGATGACTCCCCCCCCCCCTATACGGGCGAGGGTTAACCTGTCACAACCTAACAATTCTTTATTTTCGCCGTCATATTTCTCCAACTCTGCATGTAAAAGGCTGCCATTTGTCGACCAAAGCTCTGTGTTATACCGGCCGCCGGAGGTTTTGCGGCGCAGCATAACTTCAGGCGTCATACACTAGCGACATCTATGAGTGGGATTGTAACCACGCGGCGCAGCATAACTTCAGGCGCTGTATGCTAGCGACATCTACATATGGGCAGGATTGTATTGATGTGGCACAACGTGTTTTCATGTCCAAGTCCCCATGCCCAAGTGAGTGACTCGATGCCTCTTCTGTCGTTTCAGCATTGCGTTGTGTGATCAGCCGTCTGGGGCGGTGCCGCCACCCCTCTGTGTTGGCTGGACGGCCACCGCGAGAGAGCGAGCCCCCGGTCCGGTGTCGGACCGACCTGTCAACAAACAGACTCGGAACGGTGAGCGTCTGGGGCGTGATATAATCCACTTTGTGACGGCCTACCCGCGACAGGAATTTGGATGTGTCTTCATAATCTGTACTTAAAGGCTTAGGCTGTGGTACTTGTCAGTGTGGCGGCGATTATTTTGTGCGAATTAGTTTTTGGTACATTGCTTTGTTTTGATTTAAAATGAACAAATTAATAGAGTGAATGGGACGCAGCGACAAGGGGTGTGGCACTACTTTATAAATCATATTGCAGTCCATATTTGCGATCGCTTTATCAAACAATCGTCGACATAATCATTATAGTATTTTCTTCATGTTTCGTTTCTTTTTCTTGTGGTGGGGCGGCTATTTCACTTCAATTTATAACATCGTGTCATTTCTCCCACAGCTCTGTGCGGCAGTACGTGCGTCGCCGTTGGTACCGAGACTAGAAACGTCCATCTGCCGGTCAAAACTGGACTGCGGCCGACGGAAACTCCAGCTCTCTCACAGGTATGACATACACCTATACTTATGAGTGAACTGAATTCACACGAAGAACACTAGATATGGGCCACGGCAGTTGTTGCGCCCTAAAACCACAATTAACTTACACTTTAGATCTGGGCGCCATATGGCCATTGCAGTCGGTGCACCCAGCAGCCCCAGTAAGCTAGATAAACACACTTTTGATTGTCACTAGACACTAGGCTCTAGCTCTTTGTGTGTGGCAGGATTTGCAGAATTTGGTATGCTGATTCCAGTATTGTTTTTATTTCATGCGCGCCTGGGAGCTCGCGGGTTGGTGAACCAGCCTGATTGGGAATCTCCGGCGGCCTCACACCTGGACGAAAGATAAGTGTTTTTTTTCTGTCCGAGCTCTAGTTTGGACTAGTTCTAGCTCTACTTCTACTACTAGGACTAGTTCGAACGCTAGTTTAGAAGGAACTAGTTCTATGGTGTGAAATGTTACATGAACTTGCGCTAATTTCGACCTGGCTCTGGCATATCAGCTCACATCCACCAATAGTCATATTTTTCTTTTCCATTTTCTTCTGTGTTCACTAATTCCTCTGTACTGTTCTTTCAGGCTTGCCTCCCCAGAGAGATGGTTGCAGTGCTCCAACACACCTCCGCCTCAAACTATACTCAAAAGATAAGTCTGCTCCAATTATTTTTATTTGAAATGAATGAAATGTGGCAAATGCAAACTTTGCACGAGATCGATATTTATTCCTTTCCACTCTTATTTCAGGTCCACCAAAGACGGCTGGTTCGCCGATGGCGGCCCGGCCGCTCCAACACACCACCGGGACCCGCCACAGGAGTCGTCTTACCAGGTGGGTCGGTGCACCGATGTGAGGCACTGTAACTGTTGTGACATCAATGCATTGTGTTTTCTAAGGCTGCTCCACTCTAGACTTTGCCCTTGCGAGTTTCATCAGTTCATCATTTTTTCACTGTCCTCATAATTGCGAGTCTGCGAGTTTTCTCTGATAAGACTTTGTTCTTGCCGATAAGCGGCGCAATAAGTATCTGCTTCAGTAAGGAAGCGTTCCCAGAATGTATGTAGCTCAGTGCAGCCAACCTGCTTTTTTTCGAAGTTTGCATAGTTTACTTGAAAATTAATCTGCGTTTGACGAATTTGCCAACCCAGCTTTGATGTTCGGTCTGGGACGGAATATCAACAACGACCAGAATATGTTTGAAACATGATCCAAAAAGAAGTAATGAAAGAAACTGGTATTACAAGTTATATAAATTTCATGCCTCAAACATTCTCAAACTTTACTAGCAGAAAAGGTTGCGATATATTACCCACTATCCAGTCGGACAAAGTTAAAGGAAATGCGTTTTTCGGCTACTAGTCGTTTATTGTTTTCGTTTCAATAAACGACTAGTAGCCGAAAAAACGTACGTCGAATTACAATGTCTAGTCGTAAAAGCTTGAAATCATACATAGTTCATACAAGGAAATAGTTAATTTTTAACCTTCGTCCCAGTGGGGGGGGGATATGTTACCACCCTGTCGCGTTTTTTGGGTGTGAATAAAAAACCGCGGCGTGTAACGCCGCGCCGCTTGGGGTAGCTTTTTGTACATCAATTTTGGACAAGGTGTAAAATTTTTTACCCCAGGTCATGTCAGGTCAGGTCACCAGGTCAAGTTAACTGACCAAGCCTAAAAAAGTTTCCAATCATGTCCAGCCTGCAATGTTTGTCAGAAAGGTTTTAAACTTGGTGGATTGCATGATGTTATGGGTGCCTACAATTTTTACATCTCGGATTTTTTATATCCGTGACCTAAGGTCAGGTCAGTGGCGTAAACTTACCATTATAAGTCAATGAAGAAAATGGAAATGCCTCTAGGATCCGTGTGTACGCATAGGAACAGTCCAAATATTTCAGAATCACAATTATCTGGACCACCCGTGACAACCAAGGTGTCTTTTTTTTTGCTGATAGCCTCTAGAAAGGTCATCCGAGGTCATTTGAGGCTACAAACAGATTTATGCCAATAACTCTCGATTGGAAAGAGATAGGACGCTGGGGATGGTCTCATTGTGTTTGTCTTGTTGAGACGCATCGAATGATATGCAACAAGACCTTTTCCGGTCAAGACCTTCCGGTTTGACGTTGACCTGAGATCAAATTTTCATGTTGACCTTTAAAGCTCAAATAATAGTTTATTCGACGCGTCTCGGCGAGAGGAATACGATTCTGGCAATCGAAATGTTGTGGCTTTTTTAAGTCAAAAGTTATTGTCGAAAAACACATTTCGTAAAAACAGCTATTTTTGGAGTTTTTGCCCTCTGGGGGCTAAACCGTTGACCTAAGGTCAATTTTGATAATGACCTTATGAAAAGAAGATTTCAAAAGCTATCGATTGTTTTTCCCTGCGTTTTTCTAGCTATTATAGTTCCTGAGATAAATGTATGTTTTCTGAGAAATATAATGACATTTGGCAAACTTTGACCTTTGTTGACCTCCAGTGACCCCAATATTGCTTTAAGATGAAAAATGACCAAAATACATACTCTCAAATGTACGCATTGAGAGCTATCGACTGCTTTTTACCGCGTCTTTCTAGCCCTTTTAGTTTTTGAATTAGAGGTGGGTGGTAACATATGCTCCCCCCCCCCCCCCACTAGGGCGAAGTTGGCTGAGACCGCCACTGGGGCGCGGGTTAACATGGGGTTTTGAACTGAAATAGCAGTTTTGTAGCTTTTGCTGAGACTAACTAGCACAAATCATAAGCTTGTACGGTACGATCACCCTAAGCAAAGATATTCAATTTCCCGTTCCAAAAAGAGTGTCTTACGCAGGAATGTGGTGTCTTAGAAAGGAATGCAGCCACGTCATCGTCAGCCAATCAGCATGCTGCTTACAGCCATTGCAGCATGGGTAGGTTTGAACCACGCAATGTGATTGGTCAACGCGTAATCAGCTTCCGCGTCAAAACATCATTTTACGTAGAATATAGTTTTTATGATAGCTCTTTCTAGATTAAAGTATAGAAAATAATTGTTTTTACAAAAAGGTTTTATTTTATTTTCTGAACATTTTAGCATACAAAAAACATAAATCCGTAGCAAAATACTAATTTCAGGAAAGTGAACTATTTCCTTTAACAGCTACCGGAGCAATGACAGACGACGTCGCCGGTGTTAAAAAGAAAATGATGCAGACAATGTAGACGATAAAAAACATTACAGATTACAGCATAACCCACGTTCTGTGCCAAAACCCTAACTCGCAGTTTGTATGTACACTCGCAGACTCCCACGTGCATGCGCGGTCCAGTGTGCGGCAGCCTTTATGATGCCCTGGGGTTAGTGGTGTCAATTTCAGAAAACGTATGTCCAATGTCCGTCCAATGTCTAATACTTACGTCGACTGTCCGTCCAAAAATGTCCAAGCTAGCCATTTGTCCAAAGATGTCCGATATCTGCGCAATAGTTACACTCAACACCGTTATTTAATTTGCTTTTAATGTATCGTTACCAGCTCAAAGTGTTAATCATATCGATAGCTGAGCTTTCTAAAAGGCAATCAATGTTAAAAACGATTACTTTATAAAAATGTTGAGGTGTAGCAAGCGATTGTCCAAAGTTGTCCAAAGCCTGCTGTCATTGTCCAACCGAATTCCGAATTGGACATTGGACAAAATCGGAATTCCGAAGATTTAAGTTCCGATTGACACCTCTACCTGGGGTGTGACCGTTCTCCGGATGTGACGCCGCATGTTACCACGTTTTGCACAAGCGTTTTGTGGAAAGCTTGTTTATAATGATATAACGTTATGCATACAGTGTATATTATTTTTACGTATACAAAATAAGAATGTTAATTTAAAACAACCTGATATCCGATTTTTCCAATTTTACTTATTTCAATTCGTCAAACTGACAACAGGGTGAAAGCCTGAAGCTAAACAATCTTAAACTACTTATAAAGGCATTTGTCAAAATTCATTACCCAAGCTCCGCCCTTCTTGTATCTCTACGCAGTGCTGTATCTTTGGCATATGGGAGTCAGGTCAAAGGTCTCAGGTCTGGTCACCAGATGTAATCTAAGGACATTTTTTCTTGCGACAATTTAGGCAAATTGACGGACAATTTTAACCCATGCTCAACTACATAAGCCCTAGCTGGATACCATTCACTAATGGGGGAGGAGTCGTTTACTACCTTCGTTAAAGGTTAGGTCAAGGTCAGGTCAAATGGGGAAGTCTGATTACGATTCGGATCAATAGCGAACGTAGTGCCGAGTAACCCGGCACCGCCTGGGCTATTTCCGTACCCACGACAGCCTGGGGGGGGGTCGGATCCGACCCCCTGTTATCTCGAGAACCAATTGTCGCATCGAGCCCTGCGAGGCGGCGTTCGAAAGCTCTCTACGAGACCTTCCCAAAGTACTCTTAATATTTGAAATTGAGGTCAACTTTCGGGTCAAGGTCAGGTCAAAGGTCAAATTCTAGGGTTTTGCATGATTAGGCTTACGGACAGCGGAATCGATAGCTGCTGCTCGAAACTCACCAAAAATGACCTCAAAGACCTGAAGGTACCATGTGCGTATAGGGGTCATACTAAGTACGGGTCAAGGTCAGGTCAGGTCACGAAAGGTCACGGTTTTCACTTTCTACTACATGGGCGTGCGGCACATGTTTTATGGCTTATTTTTCACGCAGAATCCGATGGTAATGGTTATATGGACCCAATTCACTGCTGGTTGATAAGTGTGCATTGAAAGCATAAAAATCGTTTATACCATACATAACTAAACGAGGGCTAAGAAAAAAGGTCAATTCTTCAACTTTTTATTTTTGACATAAAAATGCGCTTTTCTAGACGAGCGTTGTCCCAGGAACCTAGTGGTGCCATTTGTTTTCACATGCGATGTTCAGAAGTGCCTCTAATTCACGAAAATGCTAATGACGTCACCATGCCTATGCATGTTCGAGCTATTTTTTTACAATTTGGGATTCAAAAATCAAAATAGGATGTTGAAATTTGGGACATCTATGTTCTAATAGAGCTCTACAACATATGTATATTCCGGTTTTTGAAAATTCTCAAAATTTTGGATTTTATTAGCTGTTTTCCAAAAATATAGTTTTTGAAGTTTTAGGGGTGAAAAACGCATTTTATGGAAAATCAGAGATAGCCATTTTAAAGAACTCGTTGAGCTGCGTCTGTTCATGTCCTTAATTTGCAATTTGCTTTAAACCCTTATTTTTGACGATTTTTTTTAACATTTACCACTTTTTGACTAAAACGCCATGTAGTTACATCACTAAAATCGATATATCTAAAACAAATTGGATTTTTTGTTTTGTAGAAAATTGCACAGGAGATGTCAAATTGATAAGGGAGAAGGTTATGCCAAGTTTCAAGTTGATAGCGTAAGCGGTTCATGAGTATTCAAGAAAATGGAGGGGGTTCGGATCCGAC